GTGTTTAGGGACCAATTATTAATTAATTTACTCATTATTAAAAATGGATACTAGTTCCCATTTTGGTCAACAAAATAAATATCATTGACGCCTTTTGATAAAAATAAATAAAATTGACAGTAAAAAAACTTTAATGATATAAATGCTTTTCCATTAAAAGTAAGATGGATTTTTACTTTATTTTTTGCAATGTGCATCCCTCCATGCTCTCCTGTTAACCATTGCCTACAAGGATGTGCATCCACTCCCCCACCCCTCCCATATGAATTCACCACTGATTTGGTGGCTGGTACAACCATAGCTAATGTTCATGTGCTTTCCGTATTCAATTTATGTAGTCGAGGACTTTTGATACCTAACTTATAATTTTCAGAAACAAATGCATTGTATGTAATGACCTAGAACCCAATTTACTAGGTATCTGACTCAGGTATCAAAATCCTATAATCATGAGAGAGGCAAGTTTCTTTTATGAAAGGTGTCAAAACTGACGATATTTACGACTAAAATCTGCTTCTGCAATGACATGTAGTAGCAAAAATGATTGTTTAGGTTTAGGTTTTAAAATGTTTGAAAAAGTTAGTTTTTTTAACTTTCTTATACCTGAAAAATTTCGCCAATTTTTCATTCACTTTCTTGAAGCTTTTATAGCAAAGCAATTTTTGCATGGAATTTTTTTTCAAAAGGATTCCAAACTGATTCCGTGTTTTAATAACGTGAGGTATATCCAGTAACACATGGCTATTGAATTACAATAATTCAAAACGAAAGCGTTTCTTCCTGTTTGCAAACAATGAAATTTGTTTGGAGGGATTAACGAACATTCCTTAGGAATAATGATGTCAACATTGAAATGTGTTGTAAAATTAATGAAAAACTTTGTCTTCATTAATGGTCCAAATGTTTTCTTGTTTTTTGTTATATTGCGAGAGGATTTTATCTTTCCTTGGATTCGGCTGGACTTTTTTCGGTAAATTTATACGATTGTGATGCCTTTGCATCGAGGTGACATTTTCGAACGACGAAATCTGAGACATTTGGAAAAACCTGCTTCCTGCTTATTTGATAACTGTGATGTTTCTAAACTTGTGTTGCTTCAGGAAAACTTTGCTTTAAATTCTCATGTTATTCCACTCTATTTCTATTAAGAATACTTTCACTATGTGTTAATTGCCTTTCCCATTACCATATAGAAAGATAGAATTTTCATATTCTACCTTTCATTCGTCTCGTATCCTAGGAAACAAGTGAAGCGAAGCGAAACTTCATTCATATAGAATAGTGCGCATTTAACAAAAACGACAAGTTTTTTAAAATAAACATGTTTCAACATCGCATGATGCCATCCTCAACTTAGAATTCGATAGATGTTTCCGAAATCTTTCGACTCGATTTTGCCGTCTGCAGGGGCCGCGGAAGTATCTCAAAAGTGGGGTGGGCACTGACCGAAAAGGGCATGTGAGGTTGCAGCTTACTGTTTTAGTATGTTACAGATATGCATTGTTTCATGAATCATGATTAAGTTTCAAAGTCTGCAAAATATTGGTAGACATTCTTAGAATGCTATGCGTATTCTCTACTGCTCGGCGTGCGTGCTAACAAATTGAACTAAGATGACTACATGAACAATTTATTAAGTAATGCGATCTCATTAAAATTTCCCAAAACATCTAACCCTACGTTCGTTTTTGAGAACAAAGTCCTTAGCTATTAAACGAAAGTCCAGTTCGTCAGTTCTGGCCTTGTTTACATGCATAACAATAAGATTATTTTAGCGTGCTGCCGTCATTGTGCTCCTGAGATGTGTCTTGACAAGCCACTGGCATGAAAAAGATCGTCCTCCAGAGGCTGCGCTCATTGGAGCAAGAAGGTAAATCTGCAAGAGTCGGACAACATTAGACATTGCCATGACAATCTGCGATGAGTTATTTTCTTCGGTTGGGAATATTGATGTTATGGTGTCAATTGATGTCACCTTCTTCTGGAAGTCACTGCGAGATAATTCCTTCAAGAAGCTTTAACTCCGCCTTCAGCTGGTCAAAGTCGAGGTCATTTTCGTAAAGGTTTTTTAACTTCATCATTCAACTCAAACATACGCCCGTTTGCTGCATTAATGAGCACGGTTTCGATGTTCATTAATACAGAATATGTTTTTTGATCGAAGCGCTCCTGTAGTGAAGCCAAGCACGCATCAATTGCTTCAACATACTGGGCACGGTGGGCGTCTTTCGCAGTTTGTAAATGATGTTGCTCGCCATCTCCGTGTTGAAGTCGCCACGGAACTTTCTTCGGTCTTGGTTGTGTTGGATCGCCTACAAAGTTGATAGCCTTGCTTGAAGCAACTACTTGGTCCTAAAACAAAGAGAAGTTGTCTCGTTGACGCTGCAAGTTTGTCTTCAAGGCATTTATGCAAGTAACATTTGTTTGTGCCGTTATTGAAGGCTTCTGCAAGGTAGTTGCTACTTGTTCACACACGCTGAAGATATTCTGCGCAAAACTTAAACCAAAGTACAAGAAAATCTTCTTAAATCGACTAGCAATACATGATGCTGTGTCACGAACGGTGGACTTGCAAGATTCTTCGGCAATGCTAAGTAATGCAGAGTAGAGGGCCTCGTAATTGTGCAAGACAGCCGAGATGGCTTTGGTTCTTACTGTCCATCAAGTTGGACACAGCAAATGCGGATTCTCAACTTGCGTGCCACTGTCTTCAATCTCTTTGGCAATATGCTGGTATTGCGCCATTCGTATTGGTGAAGATCGAATAAACACGACCAACTCTTGGACCTCCTTCAACGTATCGCTGATAATCCAGCTCTCCTTTACACAACCACGCAAAGCCAAGTCAAGACTGTGGCTACCGCAACGAATGTACAGGGCGTGAGGATTCTCAGAAGATATTCGGGCATAAACCCCACTTCTGCCTCCAGCCATATTTGCTGCTCCATTATATGTTTGCCATCGACAGTCGTCTATCGTCAAACTGCATCGCAACAAAATGTCCTTCAGCGAATTGGTGATTGTTTCAGCATCGGTTTTCTCTAGTTTGTACATTCCGAGGAAATCTTCGTGGACGGGCAAGTCGGTTCTAGATATCTAGCGCAAAACACATGTTAGTTCTTCATTGTTGCTTATGTCTCTAGACTCGTCTGCAATTAGGCTAAGTAATTGTGATTCCTTACGGATATCTGCCACTATAAATCTCAGGACTGCATTGCCCATCATATTAATCAACTCGTTTACGATGTCGTGACTGAGATATCTTCCGTTATCAATCCACTCCAACAAATCAGGTACATCCTCTGCTCTTAATTTCAGCAACTGTTGCAAGTTACTCTCAAGTTCAGTTTTACCTTGCAAACTTTGAGCTTGCGTGCCAAATACCTTATACTACTTAGTTGTTTTAGCAAAATTCTTCTTCGAGTTTCCTGGGTTTTCTTCAATTCACTGATCAATATCGCTTCAATATCTCTTCTCGAATCATCAGATAATAAAACTTTCTCAGTCGCCTCTGCGTGAAATTTAGACTGAGAGTGTTTTTTTAGTTTTTCTCGGCACTTCTTCCAGTCGCTGAATTCTCCTAGGAGAAAAGCCTTTTCACCATTATGACTGAAAGTAATAAGGTCTTGACGCATCACTCTTTTACAGAAGTAACAGGCAATGGTGCCTTTTGTCATGCAGTATGTGACCCATATATATTTCAAAATTAAAGAAGACGGACAAGTTCGTACATTCGACGATCCTCCTGTACTGGTTTGCTTTCTAGACGTGTGCTTTATTTCTTTTAGGGTAGGATGGTAAGGCTGTCGGCATGTACAGCACAAACGCTTACAATCGAGTCCTAGCAAACATTCCGTTGACTCAATTGGCATAGGTCCTACCAATAGGGCGGTAGTCGTGGAACTTGGCAAAGACGCATACGTTAGGTTTTGAGAAGGTGTGTGAACTGGTTCGGTCGGCGGCGCGACTAGTATCTCTGAAGACGATGTAGAGTCAGAATCGCCGAATTTTGGTTTGGAATGAGAATGAGGCGATAAACACGTTGATGGAGTTTCTGTAGCTGACGGCAGTGTCAAATTAGACCTAGAGTCGATATTTTGGTCAACAACGTTCTCTGCTGGAGCACTACTAAAAAACTCGTCAGTTTTCGCTTCCTTTTAGCTGTTTCTACAAGCTCTTTTTCCTTTTCTCGTTTTCGCCTAGCAGCTCTAGGCATGATGATTTTGATTAGAAGTGATTTAAACCGCAAAATTTTCAATTATTATGATTATGAATTGTCAACAGTTTTGTAAGACAAATGGCCTGAAAGACAATACGACGGGAGAAATGCGTTGCCGTAGAATTTATAGACTCATGTGGATCATAAATTGCGACTTCTCATTGGTTAATTAAGTTACTGGGCAGACGTCTGCGAAGACAGCCCCAATCGACAAACGCGATTTTTGATCCATCTGGGTAATCAACATCAAAAACTGAGCTATAGCTGATTTCGCATGATGCCGACAGACTTTATTTTACTTTCAGGGCTACTTGTATCTAAGAAAAACTTCTTCAGTCCAAATTTATCTAAAACAAGGGCATTTCTATACCATGAAAAAGGGCACATTTTTCTCTGTTGCAAAAAGTGGGGGGGCACTTGCCCCCAATGCCCCCCGGTTCCGCGGCCTCTGGCCGTCTGCTTCTTATTCGTAGCGGCAATAAATCACGAACCTCATAACTCATTTCACTTTATGCAAATTTGAGAGCGACTTCCGTTACGCGTCATATTAATAAATTTTATGTTAAGCACATGTCTTATTACGCATGTTATTAGCATAGTGACAGCCAATGGAATGCGCTTCATGACCAATTGGAGCGTTTAGGGGTAGCCGAAGCTTTTAACCTTATACATACAGCACCAGGTTGCACAGTAGAGTACTGTAGAGGTCCGTTTCTCTCTGTTCGTTATTCTTGAGAATCGTATATATATAATAATTCCGTCATTTATATTCATCAAAAAAATGGCATCGTCTTTTGAAGGCAAAGCGACAGAGTGCTTTGTAAACCCTCGCCTTGCACTTATTTACGCGAACATTTAAAGTCAGAAGGTTGTTAATGGTTTTCGCAACGTGATATATATCATAGTATCAACCTGGAAGACAAGGAACTGTGGAGTAATTTTCATCGTGTGGCTCAGGAAATGAAAATTTCAAATACTGGAAGGTCTGTAAAATTGCTTTCTGTTGTTGTTTTGTATAAGACTTTCAAACGTCAATTTTTTCAACAGCCGTTCTTTTTATCACATTCGACTAATAAACGAGCTGATTCTATTCAACGAATCCTTGTGTTTCAGCAAGTACACTAAGATGTAGTTTCGTCCTCGACGCTTCCTTCAATAAGGTTATTCACGATAAAGGATTTGTAAAATTACTCATTACAAGTTTGTAGATGTAGCTCGTACATATTATTTATTGTCACAACAGATTATTAAACTTTATGTTTTTGTCCGACACAAAAACGTAGCGTTGTATGGTGCTTAATTTGTTTCTGATGCCAATTCGTCACGCCTTTACTTTTAGAAATAATGAGCAAAAGTTTTCCGTACGTTACAAAGCCACCATCGAAGCCAGCGTTATTTTAATTTGTTCAAATTTTATAGGCCTATGTTTCCTATCATTTCCATCAAGATTGATGGTTTGGAGCCAGACGTGTTGTATAGTGTAGCTGTTAGCTTCGAGAACGTCGATGCGTACAAATATCGTTTTTTTTCAACAAAGAAAGAATGGTTTTCTCAAAATAAACCTCGTGACGATCGCATAATGAAGTTCAACCGTGTCTATGTGCATCCGAAATCACCTTTCGTTGGAAAGTTTTGGACTGGCAAGTCTGTTACTTTCGACGACATACGTCTTACAAATAGATTGGGAAAAATGGATAATTTTAAGGTGCTGTAGGATGTTGCGAATTCTTTGGTAAAAATTGAGCTAGATTATAGAATACCCGTCCACTCACTATCCAATTATATAATATGCCTCCTTCTTTATAGTTCGTTATTCATATTGACCATTAAATGATACTAAATGTTAATACATAAAGAATAATTGAGAACTAAATGATATTTTAGTTTTAATTAGCTGTTATGTTTTACTATGTATGCAGTATCCTTGAATTTGTAAGAGTGACTTTGAAAATGAACGGCTTTCTGTAATCGCCCCCCGTGATCTTTGTAACTGATGTTTGACTTTTTTTTGTTAATGTTTTTTAGATCCAGCTTTCAACGTTCCATAAGTACAAAATTGCTGTCGAGATTAGGAGACTTAAAATTTGTGGCGAGTGTGATCAACTGCATTTGATCAACGTCAAGTTTCCGTAGAACGAATTTATTGCTGTTACCGGTTACAGAAATGACAAACTTACTCAATTGAAGATCGACACAAATCCATCATGACTGCCTTTAGTATAGCAAACAAAACAGAGAGAAAAGAAAAAAGAGGTAGGTGGAAATTATTGCGAATTGTCATGTTCTTGTTTTTCATTGGTCATAAAACATACTTTTCAACATAGAATACTTCGGTTTTAGTCACTATTTGTACCTCTTCGTTCGACCATTTTATATTCATTTTTGTATTTCTAATTGAGGATAATAATAACTACGAGTTTATACACAAAAGTTAAAGAATGAGTATCAGGGTTATGCTTTGCGCGCTTAATGTTTATGTTTTCATATACGTGAACCTTCGTGTACTTTCTCGTGATAATCAATACAATGGGTATTTAGTTCAGGTTTTGTTTCGTTTTTTGACTTATGTGATCATATTTATTTATAAGAAGCAATTATGGTTGATAGTTTGACTGCTGCTACGGTATTCATTCCGTATTTATATGCTTTACGTATGTATATTAAATCAAATATATCATAGTCGCCGTTTTCGGGGCTCCTAAAAATGGCCAACCAAGCGCGCAAAGCATGACTCTGATCCTCATTCTTTAAGTAGTTTTAAGCAATAAATAAGTGAGGAAGCATCTTTCTTCAGTTTTATTTAGTTGTTTTTGATTGCTATCCTACATAGGATGAGAGAAAAAGACCATGTCGAATGCGTTAATAAAGTCACATTCATCGATGCAGACAACGACCCTTCTAACACAAGGAAAGAACGTCAGTTAAGGTCATGTCGCTATGAAGGCCTGCCCATCACTTCAATTCCCATGGGTATTTCAACAATTCCATCACAAAACAGTTCAGGAACAATAAGTGTTTCGTCTGAAGAGCAAACGCTCCCTTCCATTTACGCCATGTTGGATGACATCATCTTTGGCCAATCACAAAATCGTGTCATGTCAAACTATCAATCAACCCCTCCAAGATTACCTCATATGTATGAGCCATTTCAGATTTCCGAAATACCTGATTTAGGAACTCACAACGCGTCAGAAATACAGAGTGTTAATGACAATCATACGTGTTTTGCTTCTCATACGAGTTTTGCTTCTCATACGAGTTTTGCTCAGGATACGAGTTTTGCTCAGGATACGAGTTTTGCTCTTTTGATGGCAATCATACGTGTTTTGCTTCTTATACGAGTTTTGCTCAGGATACGAGTTTTGCTCTTGATACGAGTTTTGCTCTTTTGATGGCAAGTTTCTCCTCTTCTATAGCCAGTTGTCCCACTACGATGGCAAGGTTACCTCATACGATGGCAAATACTCCCCCTACGATGGCAAGTTTTCCCCCTTTTGATGTGTTCAGTCAAGCTCATGGCCATGTCTGCGAAGAATCTTCGATACCCGTTTTATACACAGACCAGGAAACTATGACGATGTTTCTTTCAAGAACTATCAAAGGTTTTATGACACTTAAGGCTGTAATTAATGTACTCTTTTTCAATGATGATATTGTTTGATGATCGGATTCTATGGCTGATGATCAGATTCTACTATGACATGCTTGCCATAAATGTAGTGATAAAAACGATTACACCCAAACACGACCACTAGCAATTCTTTTTCTATCTATGCAATCTTGTTTCTTCTTGTGTGATCTTGAAGCGTATGCTACTGGTCTATTTGATTGAATAAGTACTACTCTTAGTCCCGATTTCGAGGCGTTTACTTGAAGATAAACTGATTTCATTACATCATAATTTGCTAAGATGCCAAGCTGTGGGCTTGAGAGTAAGGTCTTTATCTCTTCAAAAGCATGAAAATGTCTCTCTGTCTAATGTACGCTATGTCTTTTTTAAGTAATTGTCGTAAAGGTGAAGTGATTTCCGATAAATTTGGTACCAATTTTCCAACATAATTGACCATACCAAGAAGCCTTTGAATTCCGTTCTTGTCTTCGGGTTGTGGCATGTTCACGATTGCTTCTATTGTCTGTGGATCTGGTTTGACACCTTTGTGTGTGAGCTGATGTCCAATATACACCACACTCTTTTTTCTGAAGTGACATTTTTCTAACTTAAACTTTAGATTGCACTCTCTAGCTCGACCCAGCGTTGCCTTGAGACGCTCATTGTGTTCTTTAAGTGTTCTCCCTCAAACAAGAATGTCATCGATGTCTGTTTCGACTCCAGCAATATCTTTAAAGATTTCATGTATTCTTTTGTGAAACACTTCTTGCGCATTTTGGATTCCAAACGGCATTCGGGTAAATCTAAAACGCCCAAACGGTGTATTGAATATCGTGAACTTGAGCTTTCTTCGTCCAGAGGTTTGTCAATAGCCCGATCTTGCATCTAACGTCGAGAAGAAACATGCACCTGGCATTCGAGCAGTGATTTCTTCGATAGTCGGAAGCTGATAATGTTCTCTTTTCAAAGCTTTATTGAGGTCCTTAGGATCAATACAGATGCGTAAACTTCCATCCTTTTTCTTGACAGCAACCATCAAATTGACCCAATCGACGGCTCATCGACTTTTACCAAAATTCCTTTCTTCACTATATCTTCGAGGGTTTTTGCTAGATGCTATCGCATAGGATGTGGAAGTTCTCGTGGCGGATGTATGACCGGATGTATATAAGGGTCCACTTCCATGTGATATAGTTTCGAGAGACAGCCAAGACCTGTAAATACATCTTCATATTTGGTTCGAATTTGTTCTGAATATTCATCTGTAGAAGCATGTTGTGTTGACTTTGACGCGCTCTCATCGGATACTTGTGATTTCAGTCCTTGGGTAAACTTGACGAGGTTTAATTCTTTGCAGGCTACTATACTGAGTATAGGCTCACTGGGTGTATCTGATATAAAGAATTCCAAATCGTACTCTTCTTCTCTGTTTTTTCAATGCACATTACATACAGCTTTAACGGGAACAGGCTGGCCGTTGTAGTCGATGAGATTAACTGCTGGCTTTTTTAACGGTATTCTTGTAGTGCGAGCTAACGATTTACATGTTTTAACTGGGATGACGTTCACTTCTGCCCCAGTATCTAGTTTTAACTTGACTATCAGTATTGTTCACGCACAATGTTGAATATTCTGCTTGATTATGATTGATTCTTGTTTCGTTTATGGCAGCTTGTATTGTATCGAGGAATAGGAAATGGTCGCTTACTTCTTTTTGATTAGATCCATTATTAGATCTCGAAGGTGCGAGTTCAAATCTCGTCCAAGTTACATGTTTTTCAAGTGCATATTAAAAACAGTGTTAGGATTAATATATTATGTATATACTCTGATGATGGCTTTGAAATAAAGTCGAAACACGGTGCCATCCAGTATACTGCTATAGAGGCGAGAATCTCTCGTCCATACGCAGTTTAAAAGAGATTTGACATGTCTCCAATCCCTGTGGGCTTGGTAGCTCAACTGGTAGAGCGGCGGACTTGTATCCCGAAGGTGCAAGTTCAGATCTCGTCCAAGTCATATGTTTTTCATGTGCATATTAAAAACCGTGTTAGGATTAATATATTAAATATACAACTACGATGGTTCAAATCCTTTGTATAAAAAACATTTATTATGCATGGAATTGATGTTTTTATTATGCGTATGATGTTTTTATTAGATGATTTTGAGAAAGTTTAAGTCGTTATCAGTTCAAGGTATGACACACACAAAAAAAAAAGTTGTAATTACTATACGTCATAGATGATCGGTTATTTTATCTGTAATATTAATGATTTCGTTCTTTGAATATATTCATGGCTTGCTTTAATTCTCAAGCGTTAAAATTTTTACAAAACCAATAGTACTCAATAAACATTTAACAATTATTTGTCGTGCGTTCCTTTAAAGCAGTGAGTTATGATTAAAGGGAAACATGATTGGACGTTTCTAAATTTAAATGCAGACCGGGAGTCGGACGACCCGACGATTTAAACATCAATAAAAATTATTCGTAACATGAATTTATCGTTATAATAAAATAAGGCCAAATAAAGCGTTGTATTTATTAGTCTTCTAATATAAATTTGAATCCACTGCTAAATGACTAGTATATAGCGCAGACAGGGGCGGATCCAGACTACGTCAAATACGTCGCATGACGTGGTTGAAAAATTAATGTATTAGTAAATTTACTTTCCTTTTTCATAGATCCATCACGACCTGCAACTTCTAAATTTAATATTCTTTATCAATGACCCATAATAAATCGCAATTTGTTAGACAAATCTAACAAGTTCGAAGTGTGTTATGTTTATCGCACAAATCGCTTGTCTCCGATTTATTGATAATTCTATAAGTAGATTAAGCCGAAAGCGGAAGCTACAATATTCTATATATAATATGAATGATTAATCTTTACTTAACTACGTCATTGCCTGCAAGTTTTGACTAAGTTGAAGGCATGGGTAAGCTTAAACTCAACATTTTATTGGTAAAAATTATGAAATACGTCATTTTGCATGTTATCGAGCCTTCGTTTTTACCGAAATTTGGCGCGGTTTTATGTGGACATACAGCAGAACAAAAAATCCTCATGCACTTGTACGTCGATCAGTCGAATTTTTTGTAGCTAGATCTAGACCTTATTTGAGGATGGCGTTGTTTCAACATCTTGTTAGCAGCGCTTTATCTAGCAAAGATGTAGAAACTTTGGTGTCGATTTACAAGGAATTATTATCGTCTTTCCGATCTCACAAAATTTAAACGGAGGAGAACTTTGCGCAACGTATCGATTGTGTGTTGATGTCTTTATCGACGTTATTAAAGCAGTAAACTTTGTTTACAATATGAACATAATAGCCCAACATAAGACTTAAAAAAGCCATCACAATAGTAAAATAAAGGAAGATTTATTAATAACGTTTCGTCTTTAACTTAAGACATCTTCAGATTATTTGAGATAAATTATATACACGAGGTTTTAAATACAAGCATATAAGAACGTGAAGGGGGATTGAGTATACCTCTCTTGTTCATCTCTTCTTGTTTCTCTTCTTGTGTAAATTGTTGTTTATCATTGATGTATTTGCGTGCAATAAACTTTTTTTTGTACTAATTCAACAACGGCTAACTTGTTTGTTGTATTTAAGTAAATGGTTTGAACCCGGGAGTATCGTTGCATGTTTGTAAATGTAGATCGTCCATGTTGGTATAGTCCTGAGAAGGACTGTTTTTGTTGTTGTTGACTGACGTTTCGACTACCTTAGCGGTAGTCATCTTCAGAGTCAAATTAGGAGTAAACGTCAGGTTAGCCGTATTTGTCATCTGGCTCTTACGTCCTTGTATTGTGTGTACAGGAAATGTGTATTGTCATTGTGAATTAGTGTGAAGTGAAAGATTTTATTTTTAGTTGTGATGTGTGATTTAGGTGTGATGTTTTAATTGTAATGTGTGGGTGTCAATTATGTATTGTCATTGTGAATTAGTGTGAAGTGTAATGTTTTTAGTTGATCGTTTGTTTGTATTGTGAATAAGTCGTTTGTAAGGTGCCGGTAATTGCTGTGATCTGTTCAGGGGGTTTTTTTCGAAGTTCGTATAGCAACTTTCTAATGTAAGCCGTTGTCTATTGTCAGTACTGTAAGTAATGCATTTTGCCGAGTCCCAGTCAATGTTGTGCTTTGTGATTCGGGGATGTTCGGCAATGTGATTATTTTTGTCTTGTTTCTTAGTAGCTCGTTTGTCTTCAGTAAGTCTTATGTTTAAGTTCCTGCCAGTTGCCCCGATATAGCAGGCGTGGCAGTCGGAGCAGTTTATTTTGTAAACTGCACCTTGTCGTTCGTTGGGTTGCTCTTTCTCCTTTATGTTCGTTAGTACTTGTCGTAACGTTGTGATTGGTTTATGTGCGACACGTATGTTGTATGGTCGTAAGATACTCGAGATAGTCGCAGACGTACCTTTGATGTAAGGTATCGTTGCTGTTGTCACTGAGTTGTTCGTTTCGTTGGGTTTGTAAGTGTTGCGTTTGATATAGTCAGAGTTATAGTTGTTTTTGTCAGAAACACGTTTGAGATAGTTGTTTTCGTTGCGTAGAGCGTCCGGTGAATCACATATGATTTGTGCACGTCTTGTTAGTAATCTGATTGTGGTGGCTTTGTGTGATGTAGGGTTGTATTCAATCTCGTCTGCATGTAGTGCTATGATTTTGTCATCTACGTAGCGAAACCAAAAAGGCAGTGCATGTTTGTAAGTCGTGAGCGCCCGTTCCTCTACAGATCACAATGACAATACATAATTGACACCCACACATTACAATTAAAAACATCACACCCAAATCACACAGCACAACTAAAAATAAAATATTTCACTTCACACTAATTCACAATGACAATACACATTTCCTGTACACACAATACAAGGACGTAAGAACCAGATAACAAATACGGCTAACCTGACGTTTACTCCTCATTTGACTCTGAAGATGACTACCGCTAAGGTTGTCGAAACGTCAGTCAACAACAACAAAAACAGTCCTTCTCAGGACTATACCAACCTGGACGATCTACATTTATAAACATATAATGTTTCTTGAGTGTTTGCTTTTTCTTAAAAACACCCATTTTTATGATCCGATTTTTGAAGGGCATGCGAGGACAAGTTTTATATTAGTATAAATTTACATGACTTCTGTATGGAGTTGTGCACTTTGAAATAATGTTAATAGAATGGTTGATAGTTTTAACATTTCTGTACATTTCATGACGTTTTCAATGTAATTTTTCGTGTTATATATATTTATAAACAGCTGTATAAATTTTATAATTATTCAAGTACAGCGTTTAAATAATTGTGATATTCACCTTATATAAAGATCTTAGATGTTTTGTTATTTTCACATAACGCAAACAAAATCTTCGAAAGGATAATTAGACTTTATTATAAGTGTTGGATAGTTTTCGCCCCAAATAAAAATAATTCTTGTGTGTTGCCTAATGGTGATGTAAATTAGTTGCATAATGAAAAAGGACTTATCAAAACATAAACTTCCGCACGAAAATAAGCTGAAAATAGCTCATGCAAATTCACTGGAGTTCCTTTCGGTTATAGCTTTTTTGATGGTCATAACAACAAAGCCAATATCACATTTTAATTAACGCCCAAACGATGGGTGGTCACACTCTTCAAGTTTGGTATATACAAAAGAAAGGTCAAGACCATTTTAGGCTTGGACTACCAGGTTCTCCATCAAAACACATCTCCTTTCTGTTACAAAGTAAAGAATACAAGAAGCTAATTTTCGGTAAAGGATTTCATACATTACAGATCTCTAACTGAAAATAGGAAAAGATATATCCCCAAGGCCCAAAGGTTGGTGAAAGTTTTTCTTATTCTCTCGTTAATACACGTCTCATTATAAACATGGCACAAGAAAATAGAATCGGCATTCAATGATTTGAGTTGAAAGCTTACTGCCATATTAATATACTCAAGATCATCTAACACCAAATAAAAAAGGAAAATGTTGTGTACAAAGAAAAACAGCAAAAGGTAGCTAATTTGGTTAAAATTGTGACAGGAAGTTGTCTTCGATTTGACTAAGCCTGAATGCTTCTACTAATTTCGTCAAGGTGAATTCTCATTTATCATTGATGTATTTGTACCCAATCATCTCTTTTTATAATAATTCCAAACGTGACTTGTATATTTTATCGCTTATTTCATGTTTGCTCAATCTTTCTCTAAAAAGAAATGAAACTACATCTCTGACGTTTTCATAATAAGATGTTTCCAAAGTAGCTGTATCCTTCACAAATATGATTCCTTGTCACAAATTAATTTTTCCACAAGCGATCGAAGCGTTGGCGTTTGTATTTGTGCATTTTGCGTCGCTGTAAGGCAGGGATTATTTTGAGGATGAGGATCATTTAGTGAAAGTAAAATCGCAGAAGCAATTGGTATACAACGCTCAATTTTACTTTTACACCACTGAATCAACCACTGAATGACTAGTATATATAGCGTAGACACACTATATATGAATTTTGACAGAATTTTATGTGATTTAAAAAGAAAATATTTTGTACTAAGCCTTTTCAATGTTTTACTTGCGTCTAAGCCATCCATACGACGACATGTGAATTATATATAATTTAAATAAACTACTTCATGATAGGTGAGTGCGTACGATTTAAAACTCAACGTAGACAATTCCTTTCTTACGATGGAACTTAATTGTTCTGTATTTTCCGTTGTTCCTTTTCTTTCGGACCAAAATGTAATGTATTTCCTGAGATATTTACGAAGTTGCTTGACGGAAATGTCGTCGATGCTTTGGGATTTGTATTTATTTCAGCAATAAAAGTTCTTGAAGAAGTCTATGCCCGTATTCTAAAAGCTCACTCACATTCACATATATTGAGAGCGACATAAAAATCACACTCTATCTAATCATCAGCAAACTCATTTCTCCATCTATTGCAAGATTTTCTCCTAGATATTTCAAATCATAGAATCAGTCGAAAGAAACTGGAGATTTGAATATGTATAAAGTGATTTCGAAGCCTCACTCATTGACTGTGTAATGCTTGGCATATTTTCTTTGCGCATGCGTTAAGGCCACCGTTTTTCTGGCTAGTAACTTGACAACAGTGTACTATGAAGTTGTATTGACAAAAAAGTGATTTTGGAACACTAGTCCAAAATATTTTGAAAGATGGCAAAACGTTTTAAGAAACAGGAAAGATATATAAGATATATATACAGTGAGAGCTCATAACTTCATTGCTAACAAGTATGTAAATGTTTGTTCATTGGTAAATGCGAACGTTTCAATGTAGGTTATAGGATTGTAAATATGGTTATGTTAACGAAAGTCTAAAATAGAATTATAAATTGAACGAGACTTAGCTAAAGTCGAGGTTTTATTAAAATTTATGAGTTACTGTTAAGGAACTAGGAAGTCATCTGAGATAAAGCGCGCGATATCAAGATCAGTTTTTAAAAATTTGCAAACGTCTTTATACATATTGGAAGGCAAGTAGTATTTAACATCATTCTAAAAGAAGTTAGTTAGTAGTTGGGTGGGTGACTTCCTAGTTCCTGAACAGTAACTCATAGAATTTCAATCAAACTTCGACTTCAGGTAAGTCTCGTTTAATTTTCTAATTCTATTTCGTCACTGTTCTACGTCACTAGGTAATCATGTGAGATTGTAAAGCAATGTGGACATGAGCAATAACTAATAACAAAATTATATAATTGAAATTTCACATTTCATGACTCACAAATTGCAGAAAATAGATTATTGCCAAAGTTTTTCGCCTCAATTGGTTTATTATAAAATGTTTGAAAAGTTTGTTCATTACGCCATGTAGCTGCATTCATAATAGTGTCCATAGAAATATTCAATGCGTTTGCCGAAAAAGTTGATGCAGTACTGTATGCACTGTCAACCTTAGTATTTAAACCATCATCCTTTAAAACGTATTTTAACCATCGGGAAATGATCGCTTAAGTGACCTAATGATAAGGTTATAAAAGCTCAATAGGAGTTGTCTTGCACCATTTCGTATGGGTGCAGTCGCATTTAGATAATGGGACAAGTAATTGAATACACACAACCCAAGCTCTGGTGGATAAGCCCGAAATTCTACAGGAGCAGCAGTCTTACCAGGTTTAGATGTTTTGAGCAGGTGGTGCACATGAAAATCTATTCGATCTTCTTTCTTCTCCATATGAGAAATATCCAATCCATAAAGTGTTTGGCATCGCTGACCAGATAACAAAACTAAAAGCGTTACTGTTTTTAGTGTTAATGATTTCAAATTGAGATCGTTTGGAGTGTGGAGATTTCGAAGATGTTTGAATACCACTGAAACGTCCCAGACTATGGCATATCTAGAAAGAAATTGTCTAGCAACAAATACACCTTTAACAAACCTGCAACGAGTGGATGTGTACCAAACGAGATGCCACTTGGTAGCATTAGGATAGTAGATAAGGCGCTCCTTGCGGTATTAATACCACTGTAAGATAAACCTTCCTGGTATAATATTGTAAGAAGATTAATGCCCTCTTCTACAGAGGACGCGACAGGATCGATATTGTTTGCGTTGCAATATTGTCACCAACGGTTACGGTGTGTAAGGTATTGATTCTTGGTACTGGTCCGCCAAGATTGCTGGATGATTTGAGAAGCCTCTGGTGAAATGCCTCTATCAGAGAGGAGTTTCCCGAAAAATGGCAAAGTAGTAGCTCCAGTTTTGTATTGGCAGGGTGGATTTGATCCGGATGAGCTTTACAGGTAAAGTCATTCTTCCTCTAGGTAAAACAACGGGATGTGCTATTAGCATCTGCATTAAGGCTGGCAAACAACTTTGTTGGCCAGTTAGGGGATAAGACTAGTCCTTTGCTTTTATCTTGTACTTTTTTATGTATCACTTGCGAAATTATGCTAAAAGGCGGGAACGCATAAAATGTACGATTGGCCCACAATATCGTAAAGGCGTTGACAGCTATAGCTTACGAGTCAGGTTGGTATAAAACATAGGATTTCACTTGATTATTAAACCTTGAAGCAAACAAATCAATGTTCGGAGTTACGTATAGTTTTTGAATGGTACACGTAAACAGAGTGCCATTCAGTTTCTCTGCGTGATATTCAAGATTCTCGATCCGCAGTGACATTTTGTAATCCTGGAATGTGCGCCGCTGTCAACCAAATATCTTACGAAATGCAGCAGGTCCAGACATTGCATGTCAACATAAGAATAGAACTTGAGTGGGCATATGCCCATTTGATTGATGCAAGCTACAGCGATAGTATTATCAATTAACACCTTAACATGCTGACCTTTTAGTTCTAAAGAAAACGACTCGAGGGCAAACAGTACTGCAAGAATTTTCAAATAATTTATATGATTGGAAGCCTTCAAAGGGCGTTTAGTTACCCCCAGCACATACACCATTGAGGGCGCAGCCCCACCCTGTTAACGAAGCATCTGTTGTTAGGCATATGCTAGGTTCATTGTGAGTAAATTGCCTGTAAGTCGTGCATATTGATGACTGCCACCATCGTAAATCATGTATGGCCTCTAAAGACAGGGTCAATGTCTTGACAAAAATACCCTGGTTTAACTTTAGGGCATTACTATAGGGCATTGCTTTTATCCATTTCCAGCCAGCGATAATCCAACTTACCGTATAATATGCCAGGGAGACTGAAAGTTAAATAGCCTAAAACCCGAGAAACATCCCTTTTTTGGGGGGTTGAGAAGCTTGTAGCAGCTCATGACATATGCGTTTTATCTTTTCAGCTCGTTCTTTCGTCACAAATCTTTGCATAAGAACTGAGTTCGAATTGCATAAGAACTGAGTCGGAATTCAAAAAAGGAATCACTTGTGAGGGAACTAAAACTGACTTATCCAGATGTACGTAAAACCCCACTTCACTAAATAAGCAAATGGTATCTCAAATATTCCAAACACATGAAGCATATTTGTTGGATGTCAGCCAAGTATCATCAATAAATCCAACCGAAATATGTCCTTTTTGACGTAAATTTGAAAAAACGGGTTTGAGGAGTTTTGTAAATTTTCGTGGGCAGTTGGCTAGGCCGTTAGGAAACAGACAACTTTGTATAGTTGTCTAACACACCAAAATTTGAGGGATTTTTGATATGCTGGGTGAATAGGTACGGAATAGTAGGCATCTTTGAGATCGATGGATGCCATGAAAAAATTTATTTCCATAAGCCTAACAGCTGACCAAACACACTCCATTATAAAATGGTGATATCTGACATGCATGATTAAGGATTTCAGATAAAGAATCGTGCAAAAAGAACCGTCTTTTTGGGGCAAGTTAAAATTTGGAGATACAAATTTCCCTGGTTCACTCTGAGAAATCTGCAAAACTCCTTTTTTTGCGTAAGTTGTTCATTTCTAATTCAATATTTTTCATGTCAACCTCGGGTAGCTGTATGTACTTGGGTAAAGCTCTTTGATTTGGAATTGTGTCGAATTCAATTTTTTGTCCAGGCACTGTCTCGAAGATTTCCTTAGCAGAGGTTAGTAAATTTCCTAAAAATTCAGTGTTTTTTACTTGCAATCGCTCATTGTGTCCGATCATTTCTTCCCGAATTGGTTCCTTTTCGACTGATAGGGGGTGTTGCCCTGAGGAAGGTATAAAAATGGGTGCCATTGTCGTTTCCGTTGTTTGGAATGTTGCTGCTAAGTGGTATTAGAAGAGCTTGTTGTCGTGTTGCCAATCTTGTTGGATGTGCGAATGGGATTAATTTGGGTTTGCAATTCATCTCCAAACAAATATTTCGTAATGGGAACATACGATGCGCATAAAGTACTAAATTCTCGATTGAGATTGGGACGTATAGTGTCACGTCGTCGTTGAGATAATTCAAAACTTACATGTCCCAGGATCGCAATGTATCAACGTTCATACGAACAAGATTATCAATATTCAGTTCGCTGCTGCTATTGCGGGCAACCAACAGTTCATTGGTAGTTTTTCCTGCTATATGACCGATATTTGTCAGGGCTGGTTGAATGGCACTCAATTGTAAATCACGCCCTCTAGCTTTGGGCTCTAATTTTCCCCAAATTTCGGGATTTACCTTAGGTACAATAAAGTGATCGCAGTTCTTAGGCCTAAAATATTTAGGATGTTTTTCCTTCAGTTACTCGACGCTCAGCTTATTCAGCTAATACTGGTTGATAAATGAGGCGAGCCTCTCGTTGACAATTGGTGAAATTTTCTCAGTTTCATTTAGAGTCTACAAAATCTCTTCAAGAAACGGTACCACTGCTAGTTTTTCTGCTTTAGAATTACGCTTGGTCGAAGGTTCTTCGTTTTGTGCCAACAAGACTTCACAATCTGTATCATGCCCAGATTCAGGGATTAAAGAACTTGCTTTCCTCTTACGAGTAGATTCTACTGTAGAGGATACCGACGTTTGTTGCATTAACCTGAGTGATTCACTCATAGCAGTCATTGCTTCACTCATACTACAAAGGCGGTTGCTAGTTTCAAATTCTTTGATGTGACTTGCACTTCTTCGCTTTCTTTTATCATGTCATCTTGTTCATCGTGTTCAAGCAAAACTCAGGAGTGTTGCTTTATCTCCGACATCATCTCTTGTTGTATACTCTTCACTTGTAGAAGCCATAATTCAAAAAAATTGTAATATAGAGTGGAAAGGAACATTTTTTAACTGAAAGCGGTGACATCTACGCTCGAACTGATCTTGATGTCGTGCGCTCTATCTCACCTGACTTCCTAGTGACGTAGAACATTGACAAAATAGAGTCTCTTACCTTTTCGTTACTTTTAAATTATATCAATTCAAATAAATTGAGGTGTAATTATGAGGTATAATTTACTACAAAGACTAACGAGTGCCGGAGTGCAAAACGTACTTGTACCAACGTCGTGATATTTCATGTTGCAACATGCATGCCAACTTTCCAAACTTACGATAAAGTAACCATTCAATGAACCCAATAATGATTCTCGAGGCGTTTTTATGAAGAGGCCGTTCATTTTAAGAAACATCCAAGTTTACGCGAATAAGAGTGTATTCATTTTAGCATACTGAGAAAATAACAAATCGATGATTGCAGTTCGCGACTGACTTTTATTAACGTTATTTGCAATATTTGTAATGTAACAGTTGTTCGCCACACATTTTTAAAGTACCAGTTAACATTTAAACACGTGATAACAGAGTTGCGTTGGGATCTTTTGTTATCACAGGAACGTTTACGGACGTATTTCCCTCAATATCAAGGAGAACGATATTTGGTTCTAAATATCCATCATCAATATATTTATTAGAGATGTTTAAACTTAAAGATCCTCATAAATTTTAAGTGTGCTTTGTTTCCACAGTTGATTTTCGTTGCCTGAAGAAATTGCGTCAACTTGAATGGTTACTTTTTCAAGGCTGAATCATTTTTCATTCTAGTGAATGCAAAATGTTCATAGCAATATGTGTCTACAAAGTTTAAAAGTCCTCTTGTTTCACTGTTACATTATCAATACTTGATACACAATTACCAAACTCGTTTTTCAAACCTGTTCTACTTTTACCACTTCGTTAATTAATTAATCATATCTTTATTTGCAAAGCAAATTCATACACATTTTTACTGAACCAATTCAACATTTTTTGCACAATCTGTACGAAATGCTGGTTCACTGTTCTCAAGACTTCACTCGAACGATGTGACTGTATTTTGACAATTATATTTAACACTTTGATAGGATATTTACAGTGGTTGTGCACGATTTTTACGATACGGAGTTCCAAACGTTGGTTCTTCGCGATACAGAGTATTTAGATTGATATCGGAAGGATTACGGACAACCGTCAATCCTTAAACTGAGTTTTGAACTTTGTTGCCTTCTGCAATACGTCTTGGAACTTTGCCATTCCTGTTCTACCTACATTTTACCGCAATGACGCATTGCGTTGAGAAAGTGTTCCCTTGACATGGCTATAGTATTTTAGTTTTAGGTACTGGATTCCCACTGAAACCACAATTTTAAACTATCTACGTATTTTCTATCAATCTAACAAAATCAGTTATAATCTATAACATAACACAGTCACACGCTACATAACTTGACATGACAATTTACAACACACTCCCCACCTTGATTGGTCCCACTAATCAAGCATACTCCGTGTCTTCTATACAGAATCAAGAGCAGCGGCTCTCTTGCGTCTACCCTCATCTTTTGCCTCCTTTCCTTTTTCATTCTCTTTTCGCTCGCATTCCCTTTCATCGTGCTTTATTTCGGTAGGAAAGAGCTTTTGGACGGATGATTGAGGTGAATGATTTTACCGTTCTTAACTAGCCTGACCTTAGCACCTCTTGCCACCCCATCTCTCCCTAAAAACAACTCCTCTATTACACTTGTCTTTCAATTTCCTCTTTTGACATTATCCTCATAAGCAGTCACGACATCTTCCTTCTCTACAACCCTAATAGCATTGTCCTTGTCCTGCTATGAAGCTCTCTTAAACCAAACAAATACTCTTTACGCCACCTATTCCAGACATGCATTTTTCTTACTAAAATGCTGATACCATTTTTTTACAGTAACCCTCATCAGACTCCTCTTCATCAGACCCTTTGTCTGGCATGGACAACAACCTTCTTCTCGTCACCAATTGCGACAGAGTTAGTGGTTCACCACCCACCTCGTCGTACGTATAAGTTAATTGGCTAGAATTTAATGTTGCCTCAACTTCTACCATCACTGTCAGAAGTTCGTCAAATGTCAATCTAGCATTTCCTAATACCTTCTTCAATCATCTCTTCACTCAACTAACCATCCTTTCAAAAAATCCACCCCACCAGGGAGCTCTTTCTAGATTGAATTTCCACTCTATCCTATTGTTTCCCAAATATCCTTGTACACTTGCAGTTTTATAGAGGTTTTCTAAAGTCTTGACTGTTGCTTTGAGTATTTTTGCATTGTCTGATACCATTATTGATGGGGTCCCCCTTCTAGCAGAAAATCGTCTAAGACATCTCATGAATTCATTCGCAGACAAATCTTTAACTAAGTCTAAATGTAAGGCCCTAGTTACGCAACAGGAAAACAATGCGATGTATACTTTGTCTGTCCCTCCTGATGTATTCTTCACATATAGTGGTCCAGCAAAATCAACCCCTGTCTTCGAAAATAGTTCCGCTTGCTCTACTCTGAATGCCGGAAGTTTTGCTTTGTTAGGTCTATTATATGATTTACCCTCTAATTTCTTACACACGATACATTTATTGGGAATTGATTTTACCTTCTGTCTGCCTTGTGGAATCCAAAACCTTGACCTTATCTCTGCTAAAGTTGCCCTAACTCCACTATGATGCATCTTTTTGTGGCATTGCTCAACTGTTAATTCCGGCAATCGACCTTCCTTTGGTAATAAGATTGGAAACTTCGTTTCCTCTTCCAAGTCTGATTCTGTTAGCCTGCCCTGACATTTTAGTAATCCCTCATCTTCTACTACCTTGAGTTGTGTCTCCGACTCCTTGAACTTATCCCATTTCTTTAGCCTGTCTCGTGAAGCCTTCAACCAAAGTTTTTCTGCTTCATTTATCTCCTGACTCTCTAATTCCGCGAAGGATAAATCTTCATGTTTCCCTTTGATCCTAGCGATCAAATTCCTGACAAATCGTGTGACCCATGCCGTTACCCGGAATAACTTTTCAACCGTACTGTACCTCTCTATTGAGATCACGTTCTGAATACCTATTTCTTCGTTAGTATCTACTACTAATAGTGCCGTTTGTTTTTCTTCTTCTTTACTCTCCTTAGTTACGCCTACCTCTAATTGCGGCAATTCTCTTTCTACGCTACTCAGCCGCCTTGGTCCTGTCCACCAAAGTGATTGCTCTTGTATCTTCGACGCAAACACTCCCCTGCTTCCTAAATCAGAGGGATTTCCATTCCCGGACAATGTCCCCACTTCTCTTTCTGTGTTATTGCTAAGATTTCATTTACTCTATGTCTAACAAACTGTTTATACTCACCGCGATTCTGAATAAAATATAACGCTGTAATATGATGTAACCAGTACCTCGTTTCTATTTTCCCTAGTTGGCCTACTAAAGCTTTCCGCACATATTCCATTAACTTTGCTAACATCAGCGCGGACATTAGTTCTAAGCGCGGTATAGTAAGCTTCTTCAGTGACGCAACTCTAGTTTTTGCGGTTAACAATTTCACAAAGACTCCAAAACTCGTGAGACAAACAAAATATACTAGCGCGCAATACGCTTTCTCGCTTGCATCACCAAACCCGTGAAGTTCACAAGATTGAATTTTGCCCTTCACACCACTATAGATGCATCTACTTAGCTCAATAGTCTTAACACGGTTTAGATCTTCAATCCATTCAGTGTATGGACTGGCGTGCTTGCTGCTTATCTCGTCATGCCAATCAGTCTTTTCTACGCACAACTGCTGAAACAAAATTTTCATCAAAAATATGACGCAGCTAATTAATCCTAGCGGATCAAATATCTTTGCTAGTGCGCTCAGCAGGTTTCGTTTAGTTGACTTCGTGTCACCCAAGTCTAGTACAAACTTTTGTAGGTCGAACATTATCAGATCATTGTCGCAATCCCAGCCTATACCTAAAACGTTTGCGTAATCATCCTTATTTTGATTCCCAAACTCCATTGGGTGAATGTTTCATCGTTTGGATCTGTCACCTGCACGACATTGTTCTCGCATTCACGCTGTTCTATATGCCCTCGCACGTTTGCGTCATTTGTCATCCATTTCCTTAATATAAACCCGCCTTGAGACATTGTAAATTTCGCCTTTTCATATAAATCGATCGTTTCGTGTACGCTTTTGCCCCCCGAAACTAAGTCATCAACGTAAAATCCTTCATTCAATTTTTGAGCAAGCACTGGATGTGATTCTGCAAATTCCGCTATGTGATGCCTAATCGTGGCGTTAAGTAAAAATGGCGAGGCACTTAATTCAAACACTATTCTGCAAAACCTGTAAACAACAACCTCTAAATTAGCATTAGTCGCATCTCTAATCCACAGAAATCCTAAACACTCACTGTCTGCTTTGTTTACTTCTACGTTCAAAAATGCTTTCTCTATGTCTCCTACCAAGGCCACTTTGTTCTCCCTAAATCTAATTAATATATCAAACAACAACGGCGTTAAGATGGTCCTACATGAAGACAGTCATTCAAAGAAGTCCCTTTCTTACCCTTCTTTGATGATGCATAATACACTATTCGTAGCTTAGTTGTTTTGGCTTCTTTACGTATCACCGCTTGATGGGGAAGATAATGAACATTCATCCCGGTTCTGACTTGTCAACCCTTTCAATGACTCCCATTTTTATTTGATCCCTAATAATTTTATCATATTCTTTTCACAAATCAGGTTCATTTAACAAGCGTTAAATTTGCCTTTTCATGCGTGCTAAATTATTGGCATAGTTACTTGATAAATGCCCATGACCCTGCTTCCACGGCAATTTAACAGAGTACTTATGCCCATTAAACTCAATTTTATCCAACAAGGCCTCGGGAACATCGTCAATTTCCCTGACCCCAAGTGTTTCTAAATCCCACAACTTGTTCACCTGCCTGTTTATGCTGTTTGTGTTCTGCGCTGCAGTCTGCGAAACTAAATTAACATGTGCATTTTTGATTTTCGAGCTTCCTTTCAGTGGACCGCTTACAACCCAACCTAAACAAGTGTTAAAGGCAACTGGCTCATCCTTTTTGCCCCTAATTATTTCTCCTTTCTGTAAGCCCAAAGGTTATCTGCTCCTATCAAAACATCCACTTCCAATATCTCCCGCTTCAAACTTTAATCCGAAAAAAACAGTTCTTTCAAATGAGATTACTGCTCCTTAGCCACCTCAATATGGTCATTTTTTACCGTACAAATACGTGGAACTACTAATGCCTCTAAACAAATTTTGCAATTACCCCTAACTGATGCAACCTCACAATTGACGATCCTTGTCATCTTACCTTTATTTGTTCTACCACCAAAGTTGTTATCCATTCCCGCTTTGCTACATTAAGCTTCGTATCTTGTTTTGCCTTGTTTGTCACGAAAGACTTGACTTCCCGAGTCATCAAGCACTCGCACTCTCTTCCTATTCTGACTCACAAGAATTCCTTGCGCAGTCTGCAAGGCTACTCTAGTCTTTGTACTCACATGCACGTTACTTACATTTACCTGCTCTGTTTTTTCTGCGCTACCACTCTGTTTTTTCAGCCTTCTCTTCGTCCTTTTTTCCTTTGTCACATATAAACACATGATGACCCCACATACAGTACGCTTAGTACGTGCACGACAATCGTTTGCTAATTGACCTTTATTTGGACAAACAAAACATCTTTTAAACTTACGAAGAAGTTGCATAAGTTCTGTCCTTCCTGTTATCTTCTTGCACTCTTCGTGTTTGTGCTCCCCACAGCAGAAAGCACAAAACTATCAATTTTTGCCGCTGGCTCACAATCTGCTATCTGTTCCTGGTTCCCGTTGTCTTCATCGTTGATCTTCGTCCTTCTCTCCAACTGCTAATTTGTGGCATTCCCGCTGCTCCACTTTGACTTGCAACGCGTCGACAAAATCTTTCATGCCCCACTCTAAGTAGTCTCTTCCCCTGGTAATCGTCAGTTTTAATGAGTCCGGTATTTTTGTTAGAAGATTAGGCACGACTATCTCGCAATACGTCTACTCCTTTACACCGTGTGCCACGAGTCCTCGATAATTTGTTTCCACGGCTTCAAAGAACTTGCGCAGCCTCGTCGTATCATTCAGGTTGTACACGGGCTTTAGGTTCATCATATCATTCACAAAATCACTTTGTTCCCGTATCTCCGTTCAAACCCTTTCAGGGCTTCTGCATAATTGATCGAAGTCAGAGCAATTCCCGAAATTGCTGACTTGGCCGGCTCCTCCACCAGTTCCCTCAGATAGGTTAATTTGTCGACCTCAGACAATCCGTCGTTGTTGTGAATTGAACTTTCAAAAGAGTACCAGATTTCACGCCATCTTGTATCTTGCCTGAGAACTTCTTCACCTCTAGTTTGGGCAGCTTTACTCAACAGCCTGCTTGCGTCACTGGATACCGTACTTGACGATGTGTTGGCGATTTCCTCATTTCGCATTTTTGTCTTTATAGTTCTTAGCGATTCGTTGATTTCGGCCAACGCACACAAAACTTCGCAGCTGTATTTCGATAAGCCGTCAATTTCTGCCGCAATATCTTCTTTTTTATCTAACAAGCTCTGAATCTCATCGTCCAACTTCGAAATCGTATCTAATTTATGTACGAGTACAAGCCGCATTTGTTCCAGTTCGACTTTCCTTAATGGCGGATTATCATTTACCATACTTCTCATCTTGTTCAAAACTTTTGTGGCGTACGATTTGTGCCCACTCAAAGACTGTCGCTTTCTTGTCAGCTCTGACATCGTGAAGAACCCTTTATCCTATTTCTATGTTCTTCTTGAATACTGCTACTAGATCCGGCTCGAAGGACCACGTTTCGCACAATCTGTACGAAGTGCTGGTTGACTGTTCTCAAAAACTTCACTCCAACGATGTGACTGTATTTTGACAATTATATTTAATACTTCGATAGGATATTTACAGTGGTTTTGCACAATTTTTACGTTGCGTAGTTCCAAACGTTGCTTCTTCGCGATAAGGAGTAATTATATTCATATCGTAAAGATTACGGACAACCGTCAATCCTTAAACTGAGTTTTCGATCTTTATTGCCTTCTGCAAGACGACTGAAAATTTATCAAATTTGTATGACTAATTCATACACCAATAACGTCAACTTTTCTGAACTCCCGAACCAACGTTTGCAAGCTTTATTTATATATAATTATTAACAAGTGGTTTTAGGCGTTTACATAACTTGCAATTTCGCCATTCCGTTTCTACCTACATCCTACCGCAATGACGCATTGCGGTGAGAAAGTTTTCCTATGACATGACTATATTATTTTAGTTTTACGCACAGGATTTCCACTGAAACCACAATTTTTAACTATCTACGTATTTTCTATCAATTTAATAAAATCTGTTATAATCAATATTCTATAATATAACACAGTCACACGCTACATAACTTGACATGACAATTTACAACAACAATAGAATTCACAATCAAAATAGTTTTTTTCAATTTCTTCATCCCCTTGTTGACCATGAACAATATTGAGCGCCATCAATATTTGTCAACGTTTAAATCAGTTAAGTCGAACTTTGTCCATGTAGCAATATAAAAGTTTTACTTTGTGGATATTTTTTGCAACTCAGAAATGCCTTGATAGAACAAATTCAAAATGTCATTCGATTACGAAAAAACTTTGTATATCTCTCATACTTCGATGCATCGCAAATGCAAATGGTGTAAACAAACAGTAAAATACTACAAATATATTAAACATAAAATGTAAATTAGTAAAGATTTTTCTGTCTATAAAGAGTCCTATATTCTTGCAAAATCATTATTACCGATTCGTTGATATTATTATTAACAAATAAAGCCGTAGCTAGAGCTATATACTTCACAAAACTCGGTGGTTTTTAAAGAAAAAACCTTGGTCTTTTTTTATAACTAAAATAAAATTTAGAATTAAGTCGCACTCTATATTAGTACACACTTACTAAAGCTCACTATTGATGCCAGAACATCACATTAAACACTACTGAAAAGTGTATAATTAACACATAGAACATGCTGAGCTAACTGCGTCAAAATAGTAGAGTGGGAATAAAGAAAGTTGTACCAGATTATTATTTTCTTTTCCACCCGTACAAGATTAAAAGACCAAAGAGGAATGACGGCGGATAACGTTTACCAACGTAAATTTTCGAATATTTTAGGTTTGCGACTTTTTAAATTATAAAAAATTTACGTCATGGGTAGAAGAAGTTATTAAATTCAATTTGACATCAAAATGCTCCCTATGGCCATGAAATATTGCCGTTTGTGTCCTATTGAAAATTGTACGTGCAAGAATCTAATATGTCGCATCGTCCCACATATTATCTGGCTTCACTTTTGTGCAGGGACGCCGGAACGGCAAAATGGCAGGAGGGGCAAGCCTTTGTGGAAGGGCGAATTAGTGAAATATACTAAAAATAATATACAGTGATAAACAGCAAAGAGATGTGCTACATGCCATACACTGTACAGAACCACATCTCCGCAGTGTTGTCGATGAGTATTAACGATAATATAACTATCAAACGATGTAACGTCACTAATTTACAATTTGTCATCACTCATGTATTGTATTTTCCAAAGTATTTAATTCTTCTTTCATTTCTCTGTGGAAACTCTTTGGCAATTACGTCTATTTCCACCATATCCATGTGTTGCTTCTGAATGTTGGAGAACATAATATCATTAAGATGATTTCCTTCAGTGTTTGACCGCAGCCATGTTTTGAGACGACGCATTACGCTGAATGTGCGTTCGCACGAGGCAGATGAGAGTGGCAATGTGTAGTATTGTATAATTAGTTTGTGGATCTCTGAGCGCCTTTTCTTTGCTGACGGCATGACATTGAATATCTTTGCTTTTTTTGAAATACGTGTGACCTCTGTTATTTTTTTTTCTGATCCGCGTTGTAAAGCTCAAGAATGGTAGGAAGATCGTCAAGCTGCATTCTTAGAGCATCTTTATCAATCAAAGAATTGTTTAATTCATCTAACGATACTACTCTTTCTTTCATAGAATTAAGTAACATTTCCTCGATATATTTGATCTGGAAAAGACGGTCTTGTTTAATTCGCGATCCTAGACCTGAGATGATTGCATCAATGGCTTGGTAGTACGAGGTTCGCATTGGTGTTATATTCGCACTGTTGTAAACTAAGGCATCCGTGACGTGAAGGCTTAATTTCTGTTATTAACATTTCTTCATTATTCATTCATCTTGGAACTTTTCTTAGTCTAGTGCCAGTGCCAAAATTTTTACTAGATTCCAGTGGGAACGACATCATTACACGAAAAACTTTCTTAACGTCATCAAGTTTACGCTCAAACTTTTCTTCTCTTCTCATATCATGAAGACGTTGCAGGACATGTCTTATTGAAAATAGAGCGTACTCAGCTGAAATATCAATCGCTTGGAGCTCTTTCGAAATCTTCTCGAGTAAAGCCAATAGCTTTCTTGTTGCGTTTAAATTAAAGGCGGATCTCCACTAGACGATCTTAGAGACGATTTTATGCACGATCGTGAAAAAATTTTGAGACGATTCTTTTAGCAATGGAAATGCATGAATAGGAATAGACGGGGGTTTTTTTGAAAACATGGCGGCCATACATAATCATTACCTGTTATATTTCGCATCATGCGGAATCAGCTATAGCTTAGTTTTTGATTTTGATTACCCAGATGGATCAAAAATCGCGTTTGTCGATTGGGGTTGTCTTTGCAGACGTCCGCCCAGTAACTTAATTAAACAATGAGAAGTCGCAATTTATGATCCACATGAGACTATAAATTCTACGGCAAGGCATTGCTCCCGTCGTATTGTCTAACAGGCCATTGGTCGTACAGAACTGTTGACAATTCATAATCATAATAAATGAAAATTTTGCGGTTTAAATCACTTCTAATCAAAATCATCATGCCTAGAGCTGCTAGGCGAAAACGAGAAAAGGAAAAAGAGCTTGTAGAAAGAGCTAAAAGGATGCAAAAACTGACCAGTTTTTCTAGTAATGCTCCAGCAGAGAACGTTGTTGACCAAAACATCGACTCTAGGTCTAATTTGACAGTGCCGTCAGCTACAGAAACTCCATCAACGTGTTTATCTCCTCATTCTCATTCCAAACCAAAATTTGGCGATCGACTTACGTTTAATAGCTGAGGTTTTGTTCTGAAAAACGAACGTAGGGTTAGATTTTTTGGGAAATGTTAATGAGATCGCATTACTTAATAAAATTGTTCATGTAGTCATCTTAGTTCAATTTGTTAGCACGCACACCGAGCAATAGAGAATACGCAGAGCATTCTAAGAATGTCTACCAATATTTTGCAGACTTTGAAACTTAATCATGATTCATGAAACAATGCATATCTGTAATTTACTAAAACAGTAAGCTGCAAACTCACATGCCCTTTTTGGTCAGTGCCCCCCACTTTTGAAATACTTCCGCGGCCCCTGAAAATGTCCTTTTCAAAGTGTCCTTTTCAAAGTCATCAGTGCTTAGGTGACTGAGCCATTTATGCCAGCAGATGTTTACCACTAAAAATATCTTGCTATACGTCATGTTACTGGCACTTTTTTGGATTTAATAATAATGAAAGGAATTTGCGAAGGTAGTGTGATTTTTATTTGTTCACATTTAAAAAATGACGTTTCACGGTTAAGTAGTCTTTATCTTGGATTAAAAACAATAAATTTTCAACCTGTAGGGAACTTTTGCCCCCCCTGCCCATCTCCAGAAAAGTCAAGGGTGGCCGTTGCCCTCTTGTCCCCCAGTTCCGGCGTCCCTGCTTTTGTGATATCTACAGAAGCTATATAAACAGTCTTTTATCAGATCAGAGGTTAATTGTTAGTTGGCTTTATAACTGTTTCAGAATTGTCAAGCATGGCAATAGACGGTAAACCTTAAAAATTAAAATAACATGAATAAAAACAAAGTAAACCTATATATTGTGTATTTGTTTATAATGAAAAGTACATGAAATTTAATAATATTTTCTAGCGGTGGAAATCTCAGAAAGATAATGAATTTCAAATTCAAATGTTTCAAATTGAAAAAAAAGTCACGAAAGCAAAAAGAGGCTAAGATATTAAACAAACATGGCATGGAGTATTACAAAATTGGAAAATACGAAAAAGCTAAGAAATCTTTTGAGAAATGTCTCGAAATTCAAAAAACTCTACTAGGTCCTGAACATGTTGATGTAGCTACGACTTTAAAAGATCTTGGGAATGTGTATTATCTTACTAAAGAATATGACAAAGCAAGAGAATTTCATGAAGAAGCGTTGAAAATTCGACAAAATTTACTACGTCTTGAACATGTTAATGTAGCTACGACTTTAATAAGTCTTGGTAATGTGTTTTATAGTACCAAAAAATTTGCCGATGCCAAAGAGTGTTATGAAAAAGCGTTGGAAAATCAAAAGAAATCACTTGGTCCTGAACATGTTGATGTAGCTACGACTTTAAAAGATCTTGGGGATGTGTATTATCGCACGAAAAATTATGACAAAGCAAGAGAATTTCATGAACAAGCGTTGGAAATACGACAAAAATTACTACGTCCAGAACATGTTGATGTAGCTACGACTTTAAAAGATCTTGGGGATGTGTATTATCGCACTAAAAATTATGACAAAGCAAGAGAATTTCATGAACAAGCGTTGGAAATACGACAAAAATTACTACGTCCAGAACATGTTGATGTAGCTACGACTTTAAAAGATCTTGGGGATGTGTACTATCGCACTAAAAATTATGACAAAGCAAGAGAATTTCATGAACAAGCGTTGGAAATACGACAAAAATTACTACGTACAGAACATGTTGATGTAGCTACGACTTTAAAAGATCTTGGGGATGTGTATTATTGCACAAAGGAATATGATGAAGCAAGAAAATTTCATGAAAAAGCGTTGGAAATTCGACGAAAATTACTAGGTCCCAAACATGTTAATGTAGCTAAGACTTTATGCAGTCTTGGTAATGTGTTTTATAGTACCATCAAATATGCCAAAGCCAAAGAGTGTTATGAAAAAGCGCTGGAAATTCAACAAAAATCACTTGATCCTGAACATGTTGATGTAGCTACGACTTCAAACTATCTTGGTGATGTATATTATGAGACCAAGAAATATGCCAAAGCCAAAGAGTGTTATGAAAAAGCGTTGGAAATTCGAAAAAAATCACTTGGTCCTGAACATGTTGATGTAGCTTGGATTTTAAACAATCTTGGCAGTGTGTATTATCGTACTAAAGAATATGACAATGCAAGAGAATTTTATGTAAAAGCGTTGGAAATTCGACAAAAATCACTTGGTCCCGAACATGTTGATGTAGCTACGACTTCAAACTATCTTGGTGATGTGTATTATGAGACCAAGAAATATGCCAAAGCCAAAGAGTGTTATGAAAAAGCGTTGGAAATTCGAGAAAAATCACTTGGTCCTGAACATGTTGATGTAGCTTGGATTTTAAACAATCTTGGCAGTGTGTATCATCGTACTAAAGAATATGACAATGCAAGAGAATTTTATGTAAAAGCGTTGGAAATTCGACAAAAATCACTTGGTCCCAAACATGTTGATGTAGCTACGACTTCAAACTATCTTGGTAATGTGTATTATGAGACCAAGAAATATGCCAAAGCCAAAGAGTGTTATGAAAATGCGTTGGAAATTCGAGAAAAATCACTTGGTCCTGAACATGCTGATGTAGCTTGGATTTTAAACAATCTTGGCAGTGTGTATCATCGTACTAAAGAATATGACAATGCAAGAGAATTTTATGTAAAAGCGTTGGAAATTCGACAAAAATCACTTGGTCCCGAACATGTTGATGTAGCTACGACTTCAAACTATCTTGGTAATGTGTATTATGAGACCAAGAAATATGCCAAAGCCAAAGAGTGTTATGAAAAAGCGTTGGAAATTCGAGAAAAATCACTTGGTCCTGAACATGCTGATGTAGCTTGGATTTTAAACAATCTTGGCAGTGTGTATCATCGTACTAAAGAATATGACAATGCAAGAGAATTTTATGTAAAAGCGTTGGAAATTCGACAAAAATCACTTGGTCCTGAACATGTTGATGTAGCCACGACCTTAAACAATCTTGGTAATGTGTATCATTCTACTAAAGAAAATGTCAAAGCAAAAGAATTTTATGAAAGAGCGCAGGCAATTAAAAAAAAATCCGTTTCTTCGGATCTTGCTGTTGTTACTGAATCTTCGAACAGTATTGGTATGTTGTTTTTTATTTTTGTATATTGTAGCATATATAAACGTTTTAAAGTGTAACTTTTGAGGCTTTTGAATTTCAGAAAAATTTTTAGGTTTTTTTGTGTTGGCAAATCATGAATTCTTTTTGCATTAGGTTTGCCTAGATCTGAACAGAAAAAACAATTTTATCAATATTTATAAAATTAGTTAAAGATGTTTTTTGTGAAATTTGGATTTATTTGGAGTAATGATCTTATTTTAGATTTTATAACCATCCTGAGCATTTATCTTGTTAAGCTCTCTTATATATAGTCCATTTGTAGAGCTATCTTAAAAAGATGAAGAATATTTATTTCTTAAAGTTTGATGCAAATTGAGAACAATGTAATGCCCTTCAATAAATATTTAGGTACAAAAATGTTTTAAATCTCTTTTAAAGTATAAACAAAATTACACTGAATTAAACTACTAAAAAACAACGACCCATGCAACGAAAATTTGTTTTTGGTAAATTTTTCCTTGTTTACTTTCCATGATATGCTTTATTATGTGGTTTGCAATTCATGGCTAGAAACTACTGAGAGCCTTTTCCTCCTAAATCTTCCTAAACTGACATGCCTAAATACAATTTGTTTGATTTTCCCTGGTTCAACTATTTTTCTTTTTTGAAGTATCTGCTTTCTACTTAATATAAACGTATGTTTTAAAAAAATCTCAAGTACTCTATTTAAAATTTTTCTTTGTTTTTATCATAGCTACAAGGCTAGAGCAAGTTATTTTTATTACATATTTATTTTGTTTGTTTTATATATGACGAGTTAAAAATTTTTCTACTAATTGCTTTTAACTTTTTTTCGTAAAAATTAGAAAAATTAAAAAAACTTAAGTAAAAATTAGGACATAAATAAAATTATACTTTTTTCAGTTTTTTCATTTTGAATATTTTAAGAAAAATGCCAGATTTACAATATTTGGATTCTAAAAAAATTTTTTACTACTTTTAAAACCTAAAGTAATAAAGTTTATTAAAAACCTAAAGTAATAAATAAAGTTTTACATTTTTTAAGTTTTTTTATTTTTAATATTTTAGAAAAATACTAGATTTACAATACTTGAATTTAAAAAGCTTCTTTATTACTACGAAAACCTAGATTGATATATATCTTTGTTCTTATAAAAAAGTGTAGTTAAATTCTAAAAATTTACTTGAAGAATTGATTCTTAGTTTTTTCTTTTTAATTTAATCCAGTAAACGTTATAAACTCCACTTAACTCAAACTTTCCCTAGAAACATATTTGTTATAAAAAACACCCTTCTATTTTACGCTATGGTTCACCAGCTCTACTTTTATATCTTTTTCAAAGAATTAAAGTCTGATGATACTGCTGATGCTAAATCCCCTTCAAATTTACACGTTCATACGGAGAAAATAGACGGTATGTTTATTATATTAGAAGGTAAATATACAAAATATAGAGCTTTATTAGATGAACTCTTTAAGGAGTCAAAAAGAGGGGAAATCTTGAAAATACTTGGAATCTAGATCAAGTTGATTTCATTGGTTCTTCAAATATTCTTTAACTTTTGTTTATAAATATTGTTCATTTTTATAAAACCAAGCGGTTAGAACATTTTCCAATCACAGATAATGCGAAATGATGCAAATTTTGGTGTTATATTTAGGTTGTAGTAGTTCAAATAACACATGTTACTTTTGTGAATTTAAGATACTTTAAAAAACCAGCATTGATTATAACATATTTTATACATAAAAACTAAAACGTAAAGAACTTCCAGGTGTCTTTTTTTTCCTTATTCCGTTCTAAAAAAAATACAGTTCTATAGGGAGAAATATGGAAGAAAAAACGAAAAATGGTTAAATTGTATTGTTCATTGACAATTTTAATATCACAACTATTTTAAATCAAATTTGAAAAGAATCATTTTACTACATAGGTAATCTATTCCACAAAAAACTCTTCGCTAAAACCAAGTATTTTCCCACATAAAGTAAGATTTAAATCTCAGAACATGTTTGCGTTACATTTTTTATGCGGCAATTTTTTTTTGTTAACGCACAATATCAAACAAACGTATAACAAATTAAAAAACAATATAAAAACTTAGAAGACCTAAAGCTTGGGAGCAAATTACTTCCGTGCATAATTTTTATCTTAAGACATCAAACACTGGCATGACAACATTTATGCTTGAAAAAATTTAGTTTAACCAACTTTTTCATATCTGAACTAAGTTGCACTATTTGCTGTTTTATACGTTTGAAATATGCGAAACTCCTTGAACAAATTTTCTTAAGGTAAAATTGGATTGTACTTCTTTCTTGCCATGAGTGAGGGACGAACGACTAGCATGAAAAGAATACAAATTCAACATGCAGTATTTAATGCAAACCATATACGAAGATGCACGGTGTTATTTTTTGTTGTATTACATAGATTTATGAAAAGGCATGTTATGTCTTTGCTTATCATGATGACGAGTAGAATTAAAATCTATAAATTCAATTTAAGGTATGTCTTGCTCAATTTTTTAATTCAAACTCTTCATCAGCTACGTCACTACGTAGAAACATGATATTTTTAAAGTTTGCCGAAGCTGTTATAGTATGAAATCTATTGTAAAAGGCACATTATTACATTATTTAGTATACACGTAAATAAAAACTGAGCCAAATTTACAGAAAATTTCTTGCTCAAATACACGCACCGACCAAGTATGTTTTAGTTTCTTTCCAGCAGTGAATAAGTTTTTCCTAATTTTGCACAAGTTCTATATAAAACTTATAAAAGGCTTACCATCTTTACCCCCATATAAAGAAAAAGAAGCATAACCAGTTTATGTGTATGTTGTTTCAGCTAGAGTTTTGAGGTCAGAGTTACTAAATTCTGGCAGTCAGTACCTTTCTAACATTGCATATTACTTTATATTTCAGCAAAGCTGGTTTAATTTCTGTCTTTTTACGTAGATTATTTTCTACTTAGTGAAATATATAGAGTATGAGATTCCCTCTAAGTAGAGGCGTAACTAGAACGTTAATTGGGGGGTGCAAATGCAAAAACTATAAGAAATATAAAAACTCAAGAGATATAAATCTCGTGGACGAAATGTTTCGGTGCCTAGTTTTGATACTAAAATCATAAAAAACAGGGATGACAACAGGAATGACGTTTTATAACCATTTCATTTTACCAACTTTCCCATCTATGTACTAGGTTGCAGTTCATGTTTTATATACGTGAAAGGTTATTGATTTTAATTTGAAAACTGAACGAGACTTATCTTAAGTCATAGGTTAATTTTAATTCTTTCTTGTTATGAGTCAAAAACGAAACGGCCATTGGGCTAACTTCGAAAATTAGGATTTTTTCATGCGTCCATTGAAGAACCAAAAAAATTTTAACCATCGTGTTGCTATAGTAGTACTTATCAACTTGAGGATGTATGTCAATTGTTTAACTTGCAGATAAAAGAGAAAAATAGATTATTTTATCTTGAATATATGATCAGATCAGAGAAAGGTAAAATCAAAGTTAAGTTTTTACATCTTTAACGCAAAGAGAGTCCTGCTCTCAACCAATTAGGCAGCGTCGGTGTTAAAAGTCTTTCAATACGCTTGATAAGCAATGGCAAACAAAAAAACTTGCTGAAGTTGCTAACTCGGATGACGAGTTTTTTTGCGTTATGCTTATCAAAATAGTGCTAACTAAAAATTAACATCATTTGCTCTTGGCTCCTTCGTGTATATTTACTTTTTTACTTCTAAATGGAGAAAACGTCCATGTATAATAAGGCAAAATGGCAAAATTCTGGGTATAATTTACGACCTTCACTTTGACAATTTGTCGTTCGCTGAAACGTTTTACTCTGCAGAGTTCTTGTTTTGTACTCATACCGGCGCTCTGCAAATTCCATTACGATTGTTGTATCGTTCTTGCAATGTCCAAATGCTGAGAAGAGAACAAAACAAGCAAATAGACAAGAGAAAGAGAAAAACAAGACGATCAACACATTTTAATTTTTACGTTTGGCGACTAGTAATTCAGTTTACGTGAGATTATTTGGTGCCATGCTGATGAATTTCAAAGCTACATTTCCTTTCAATTTGAGTTTATTACTCGAAATTTACTTCAAATACTACTCAGAATAGTAGTGATTCAACGTTGCCTTTTTTTGTTTATATAATATAAGAAATGAATATTGTATGAATTATTTTTATCATTGTTGCCTCAACCTAACTAGAGCGAATTGTCATTTCAATATTAAACTATAACTTTGATAGATGGTATCTGAGATGTCGTGTTTGCTTTGCTATGTTATGACATTTGTTGAGCTATGAGTGAATTGTTTTAATTTTTCAGCTTTGCTGTTTATTAACTTTTTGAATTGTAATTGGGCTGTCATATCTAAAATTCACAGCTGTTTGCAGTGCTCATAACATCTTTGTTGTAGTTGTGAAATGTCTTTATAGTTGAGCATTGTGCTAGAACTGTTTTAGTATACTGTGCATGCAGTATGACAAGGCTCCAAATCTATATTCGTATTGCAAGTAATGACGCAGACAAGAAGGCTTGTGGACAGAAATATAAACGACTAAAAGACTCTCAAAGTCATAACTTTACACAGTAGATTAAGATCACACGGCTGACTTAGCATTTTTATTAACGAACCGAAGTATAAAAATAAACTTGGAACATGGTATTGATGATTTTTGGTTCAGTCAAGTCGAGACAAAATGCCATTTTTCGTTGGTTCAGTGAAATTATAGTCTAATAAAACTGAAATAGTACTTTCCCCAGTGGCTCGTTGCAACTTTTTTAGTTTTTATCGCAAATGACGTGTATACCCGTGTATTTATAACTGTATAGACAACGCTTAAATGTTATCTATTTGTTAAATATAAACTACCTATGCTGTGAAATTCAGCTGGTTCCTCAGTGGATGCATGTCGATGTTATTTCAGGACGACTTTTTGCGATTCGGCCCATGGTCTAGAAGCAATAAGATAAAAAGCATACACATTCAACAGTATTTTACGCGAACGCTAGCCTAAGATGCAGAGGACTTAATGTAAGTCTTGTTTGATTTTTAAACTCTAACTTTTCATCAGCTATGTCACTAGCTATAGACAGAAACATAATGTTTTGAAGTTTGCATTGATTTTTTATGATAAACGTATTGTAATAAGCATGTTATCACGAAATTTAATATTTTCTTCGATAAAAATTAGTGAAGATCAAAAGATTTTTTTTTTTTTGAAATACTCATACTGACCTAGTAAGTTTTAGCTTGTTTCTATAGTGAGGAATGTGTTTTTCCTGGTTTTTGCAACAGTTAAAAATCAAACTTATGATTGTTATGACTCATTTGTCACCACATAAGTGACAGGCTGACAGCAGCATAACTAGTTTATGTTTGTGTTGTTTAAGTTCGAGTTCTGGCGTCAGAGGTACTAAATTCTGGCATATCAATACTTTTCGAACATCCTATATTATTTTACGTTTTGGAAAAGATGGTTTTATTTCAAATATCACTTTTGCCAATTCTCAAACCAGTCTGCTTTTATTTGAAAGATCTCCCATGTTGCAATTATTACAGTTAATGATGATTTGGCTGTACTAATTGCACTGTTGCCGAGAACTTTAAATAGATGGGCAAGGTAGTTGACGACCTTTTCTGTCATCGCATTGAAAAAGTTAATTTGTTTTTCTACAAATATTTTTTCCACTTAGCGAAATGTATACAATATGGTTTTTTGGTAGCTCCTTTCTAAGATTCCAAAATGACGTCCTTTGCTGTCGTTGAGATTTAATGTTCTATCATTGCCACGATAATATATATACGAAATTTTATGGGCTGTGTTTCTTTAATTTTCATATACCGCACTCAGTCCAGTGAGTGGGACATTGTAGTAATTACTGCATTTTTGCTTCTATGTAAAATCAGGTAAAAGTTTTTCTTAACGTTCTGTAGCCACAAAGTAAATTTGTTTTATAATCATGACCATGCAGTGTTATGTAAGCATAAAAGTAACAATCACTCTACAGTAGAATAGACAATACATGACCCTTGGGAGGCTTGGTGTAATATCCCTGATATTCCTACAACCTCCAGTTTGCTGACCTTATTTAATGCTATTAGATTTTTACAATGCTTTGCAAGAGTAATGGATTTATCATAAGTTAGGGAGATTGTCATGCACGATCAGTATTTTATTGGATTAAATCTAAATATAGGTTGCTGATAAATCAGGTTGCTGCACTTTAAAACCTGCTCAGTCAAATGGTTCTAAGAAAGGGGAAAATGAAACAGCAAATATTTGGCATTGAGCTTATAACTTATTTCGAAAACATTTTATTGCTTAAACGACTGTAGCATTATAGCACACAAAGTCAAATGTATTAAATATGTGAAAAGTGTAAGTTTCCCTGTAATACTCGTGCTTTCATGCTAACAGTTGCATTCTGCTTTTCTTATATCATTCTAAAAATTTTATGAAACACAACATCGTTATGTGCATTACATTTACACACCAGCAATTGTAGTAAGTAGACTTTATACTAAATGTAGTATGATTAACACTGCAGGGGCATGTATAGCTCAATGTAGTATGATTAGCATATGGTTAGTTGTGGTGTAAAATTGACAATACGAAGAATAAAGAGACTCTACAGAGGACTTACCCTAGTAATAGCCTTTTCTTGAAAAACTAAGGAATTTATTTCGCTGCAAAGTCCATAATGACACATTCTTCATGCAGAAATTAATTATTGTTTACATCATCATTGTTATAGTGAGAGACTTGTCAGGCGGTAAACGGATTCGTGTTAAGAAGACAATTGCCTAACATAAAATTCGAAATAAAGCCGTTTTTTAAAGAAATCATATATTATTTGTAACGTTTCAGACAGATAATTAAAATGATCAAGTGTGCGTTTTATATTTACATATTAGAATTGTAGTTATAAGACGTTGTCAAGAAGGAGGCGAACTGTGTTGTCAAAAAGTTGAGAGGGTAAATCATTTGAATCAAAGAGTTTTCGAACCATCTCTTGTTGATTGTGGAAGTTTCCGTATCTTGAGCAGAAGTTGAAAGTAAGTTCTGACTGAAAATACGTAACATCCGTTTACCAGAAACCCACATTCACTGAACTCGTCAACCCCTTCAATAGTTTCATCCCCCTCACTTATAAACGCTACCTTATCTCTACCATTATTCTCTGTGTTTTCAACATCTGCTCAAGCTACGACAACTTCCACAATCAACTAGAGATAGTTCGAAAACTCTTTCATTCAAATGGTTTCCCTCTCAATCTTTGCAACAATGTTCGCCTTTTCCTCGACGACGTCTTTCCTCCCAAACCATCTATTACCACCGTGCCCAAGAAGCTTGTGTCTTTCTGCTTTCCCTAAACAGTATCACACTCTGCAAATACGCACCAAACGTAGCCGCCTCGGCAACGCTGCCTTCCCTCACGTTAACATCAGATTTGTTTTCCGTCCTTCTACACGCATTTCCTCCTTCTTTCCTTTCAAGGATAAGATTGCCAGATTTTTGAAATCTGGTGTTGTTTATCTCTTTGAGTGTATACGCTGCAATGCGTCATATGTTCGTCAAACCACACGCCATTTTTAAACCAGAATCTCAGAGCAGCTGGGAATTTGCCCCTGACAGAAAAACAGTAATTGTGCCCTACCAAATATAGCATCCCACCTCAAATCAACATATCAGGTCACACAGTTCATTTGATGACTTCAATATCATCTCATCCTCACCTTACACTCCTGACTTAATGATTCATGAAAGCCTCCTGTTCTCAAATCTAACACCTACACTGAATGTCCAAGGCAGTTCTATCCCACTCGAACTTTTTAAAATATCCCACTACGTTTTGCATCCATTTCACGCTACATATCACCTCACTGTGATCAAACACTTATAACTACACTTCTAATATGTAAATATAAACGCACACTTGATCATTTTAGTTACCTGGCTGATGATGTCTTGTGTAAAGACTATATGCTACAAATAATAAATAAATTCTTTATGAAAATGGATTTATTTCAAACTTTGAGTTGGGGAATCATCAGTGTTGGCTAATAATTTATAGCTACGTACCGTATGCGGTTTAAATGATGCAAAAAATTACGAATCGATTTCACTGTAGCAAAACGCACTTTGAAAAAACTTCCAATGTAGATCACACAAATTTGGTGCTAGCATTTTGACACATTACTATTAAAAGCACTATTATATTGTTATCCACAGTTGTATTGAAATCAACATGGCACATCTTTGATGAATTTTCACAAGTCTCATGCTATGTATATTTGTATAGTTGATGTAGGATGTCCAACATTTCCTTCCAAAGGAGAAATGCTATTAACTTGCTTTTAAATGTGCGGAGTTTTTTTGCAGGAATTAAGGAAATTCTGCTAAAGTTTGCCCAAGAAATTCCTGATAAATGGAAGCATTTGGCAGTATTTCTGAAGGTCAAAGATGCGAAAATAAAAGAAATTGGACTAAATCATGGTGACGTTAGCTGGCAAGGGTTTGAAATGCTAAAGTCTTGGTTTGAAACCCGAGAAAATAAGCAGTTGTGGTACGAAGAACTTGCCGCTGCTTTTCGCAATATCGAGAAAAACCATTTGGCTGAAGACGTTCTTCATAAAGGTGCAAATGTTGCTAAATATTGTTAAACTGAAATTGAAAGGTCATTTGACCATTTTTTATAATCGCCATTTTTATGTAAAAGTCAGAAGCTAACATTAGATTGGTTTTATTGATTTACACTTTTATAATGTACATGAAAAAAATTCTCAGTTCTCATTGGTTAATTAAGAGCAGTGCAATTTATTGTAAATACCAGTGGAAAAATTAAGAAACACGGTGCAGAAAAAAGGAAATACAGTGCATTTTTTTTTTAAAAATAAATTTGCTCCTGATTGGTTAATGAATCATAGAAGTGATCTAAGAGCCAATCAATCTAAAACATTTCAAAGTCGTGAAAGTTAAATTAAAGTAAACAAAGCAAATGCAATGGCTGGCGCAAGCTTAAGTAAATTTTCTTTAGTGAACGAGCTTACAATTCGCACTGGAACAAAAATGAACACTGCCAAAAGTAGTTACCTTGTTCTAGCTGCGTGTATGTAGGCTTTGGTGTTATGAAAAGTAATATCCAATGGAATTGTTATATACGAGCCAGCCAGAATTGAGAAATTTTTTTATGTATATTAAGCCCTTAATAACTGACCTCGAGGTCTTTACGGACGGACCGAGTTCTTTTTGCACCAACCGAGCCTGTAGTAAAGTACAGATCGTGAAAGCGAGGTTATTAAAATATTTATTATATACGGCATTATTTGACCTGAAACAAAGCTTGCTTTCTTTCTCGTCCTGGCTGTTTTGTAAGGGTTGGCTTTCATCTTTCTATTTTTGTCAGTAAAAATAAATCATTTTTAGTTTTGTATCGTCTGCATAATTAAACTCTTTTCCGAGAGTTTTTCTTTTTACTCACATTCGTAAATAGTTTTTGTTTCGTTTTTTTTTCGTTTTGCTTTTTTTCAAGAACTTTGTTTACATTTTATATTTGACTATAAAATTACGCATTTTGGACTGTGTAATATTCTTTATTTTTCTTGATACGTCTCTGACTCTGCCAGTCGGACTACTACTTATGTACACGACTATGGGTTTCTTATATAGATAAAAAATAGCATAAATGTATATCATTCATGTTTTATATTAATATATTACAACCCTCTTTTTTAAAACTAGTATCCTTGTATTTTTCAGTCTGATTTTTCTATTAATTTCTTTCTAGTTTGAATAAACGATTAACTAATTATTCCCAATGTAAAAAAACTAATGTTCTGATTTTATAAATGCCAATATTAAAGGTTAAACATAGTCTTTTCATTGTATTGGCTTACTTACGATACATCCTGATCTTGTCTTCATTGGTGATAAAGTCGTTCCTGCTAAACATATCGATTGCTCGTCTTTTACTCTTGTTTCTTTAAGTTGGGTTTGTTCTTTTCTGTCTGCTTCATTTTTCTTTGATTGAAAACGAAGGAGAGACTGCAAATTTCGATCATTAGTTTTCCTCAGATGTCTTCTATTACGTCGATATTCTGCACCCTCAGATGTTTTCACATTATAACTTCTAAGGGGTGTCCGCTTTGATTATGACAACGGATGGTTTTCATTTCCCTTCTCTTTCAACATAAATATTTTCACATTCACTCAGGTTTTCGAGGGATTTCGACGATCTGTCGTTGTATTTTTTATGCCGTTTTTGCTTCTTTTCCAATTTTATTTGAATGATCTCTGGATTCACTGTTTTTGGAATAAGTTGTTTTGTCGAGGATGGCATATTTGATCGAAGTCTTCTTCCCATGATTAATTGTGCTGGTGATCCAATGTCATCAATTTGCGTATTTCTTTGCTCTAATATGGCTAAATTTAACTCTCGATTATCTTATCAAGCTTTCGTTCGAGTAGACTTTGCCGTTTGTACCGTTTTCTCTGCTAAGCCATTCGGTTGTGGATACCCTGGGCTGGACGTTATGTGTTCGAACCCCCACGTTTTGAAAAATTCAGCAAACTCTCTTGAAGTGTACTGTAGACCATTGTCGGATTTAACGTTATCTGGAATTCCATGTCGTGCGAAGAGTGTTTTCATTTTATCTATTATTGCAGGACTCTTTGTGTTGGTAGTTTTTAATATCTCCCAGAATCTACTGTAATAGTCCACAACCAGAAGGTAATCATCATTATTCCAATAGAACATGTCTGTTGCCACAATCTGCCATGGGTATTTAGGTATTGTATGTGGTAAGATAGGCTTTTTCGATTGCTACATTTATATTCAGCACAAATTGAGCAATTTTCGACAACTGTCTGAATATCTTTATTTATACCTGGCCAGTATGCAAGCTCACGAGCACGCTGTTTACTTCTTTCAATGCCCATGTGGCTTTGATGAATTTTATTTGAAACACTTCCTTGCAGTGAGGATAGAATGAAGATCTTTTCTCCTTCGAACACCACACATTCAATTACTGTCAATTCTTCTCTGTAGCTCCATAATGGTTTTAAGAAGCTTGAAAGATTTTTCTTATCATTCGGCCAACCTTCAGTAATCACTCTCACTAGCTCTTTCATCATATCGTCCTTCTAAGTTTCTTCAGTGATATCTCTTCGTTTGCCGTCAGAAAATGGTAGCATTGAGATCATAGCAATCGCTTGACAATCCAAATCAAGTGTTTCTCCCGCTGATTTAAAATTTGACAAATGGGCTCTGGACAACGTATCTGCTATGTATAATTCAGTTCCCGGTTTATATTTTACCTCAATATCAAACGGTTGTAAATTCAGTAGCATTCTTTGCAAGCGAAGTGATGATTTATCCAACAATTTCTTTCTGATGGTTTCCAGTGGCTGATGATCCCATTCTACTATGACATGCTTGTTATAAATGTACTAATAGAAGCGATTACACTCAAACACGACCGCTAGCAGCTCTTTTTCTATCTGTGCATATCTTGTTTTTGCTTGTGTCTTGATCTTGAAGCGTATGCTACTGGTCTATTTGATTGAATAAGTACTGCTCCTAGTCCCAATTTCGAGGCGTCTACTTGAAGATAAACTGATTTCATTACATCACAATATGCTAGGATGCAGGGCTGTTGACGTGAGAGTAAGGTCTTTGTCTCTTCAAAATATGAGAATGTCTTTCGGTCCAGTGCCACGATTTGTCTTTTTTTATGTAACTGTCGTAAAGGTGAAGTGATTTCTGATAAATTTGCTACGAATTATCAAACATAATTGACCATACCAAGAAGTCTTTGAATTCGCTTCTTGTGTTCGTGTTGTGGCATGTTCACCAAGTCTTCTAGTTTCTGTGGATCTGGCTTGACACCTTTGTGTGTGACCTGATGTCCAATATACACCATACTCTTTTTTCTAAAGTGACCTTTTTCTAATTTAAACTTTAGATTGCACTCTACAGCTCGACTCAGCGTTGCCTTGAGACGCTCATCATGTTCTTAAAGTGTTTTACCCCAAATAAGAATGTCATCGATGTCTGTTTCGACTGTAGCTATATCATTAAAGATCTCATGTATTCTTTTGTGAAACACTTCTTGAGCACTTCGGATTCCAAACGGCATTCAGGTAAATCTAAAACGCCCAAATGGTGTATTGAAAGTCGTGAGCTTGGAGCTTTTCTCGTCCAGAGGTTTTTGCCAATAGCCCGATTTTGCATCTAACGTCGAGAAGAAGCATGCACCTGGCATTCGAGCAAGGATTTCTTCGATTGTTGGAAGCTGATGTTATTTTCTTTTCAAAATCTTTATTGAGGTCTTAAAGATCTATACAGATGCGTAAACTTGCATGTTTTTTTTGACAGTAACCATTGAATTGACCAAATCCAACGGCTCATCAACTTCTACCAAAATTCCTTGCTTAACTGTATCTTCGAGGGTTTTTGCTAGATGCTCTCGTAGAGGATGTGGAACTTTTCGTGGCGGATGTATGACCTGCTGTACATCAGGGTCCACTTCCATGTGATATAGTTTTGAGAGACAGCCAAAAACTGTAAATACATCTTCATATTTGGTTCGAATTTGTTCTGAATATTCATCTGTAGAAGCATGTTGTGTTGACTTTGACGCGCTCTCATCGGATACTTGTGATTTCAGTCCTTGAGTAAACTTGACGAGGTTTAATTCTTTGCAGGCTACTATACTGAGTATAGGCTCACTGGGTGTATCTGATATAAAGAATTCCAAATCGTACTCTTCTTCTCGTCTTTTTTGCAATGCAGAGTACATACTGCTTTAACGGGAACAGGCTTGCCGTTGTATGCGATGAGATTAACTGCTGGCTTTTTTTAACGGTATTCTTGTAGTGCTTGCTAACGATTTATATGTTTTAACTGGGATGACGTTCACTTCTGCCCCAGTACCTAGTTTTAACTTGGCTTCTGTATTGTTCACGCACAGTGTTGCATATTCCGCCTGATTGTGATTGATTCTTGTTTCGTTTATGTCAGCTTGTATTGTATCGAGGAATAGGAAATGGTCGCTTACTTCTTTTTGATTAGATCCGTTATTAGATCCCTTTGTCTCAATTGAGTTTAATTTTCCACTTGAGCGACACATCTTGGCGTAATGATTGAATTTCTTGCATTTATTGCATTGCCGACCAAATGCTGGACATTTTTGTTTAGGATGCTTGTTTCCACAATGTATGCATTTCTTTTCTATGCTAATTTCATCACGACTTTCCTTTTGCCTTTTATCAACGTGCTGTCTTTTGGAGAAGTTTTCTCGTCGTGGATGACGAGGCCGGTGGATAGAATTTATTTCTTTGTCGTTATTAAACAGTTTTAATTGTTGTAAAGATAATTCATCCGCTTGACAGATTTCAATCGTCCGAGTGAGTTTCATTTCGGCTCTTAAAGAAGTCTTTCCCTGACTCTTTTTAAGATGATACCACTGACGGAAACAGCTTACACACTGTACAGTTCACGCTAGATAGGTGATATTTATTAATAGTTCATAAAATTTCGTTGTTTTTTAAACGAAATCAATTTAGTTAACTGGAATCTGTAACTTCTTTGTCCATTAGGATTATAACGGTTTCATTAAAACGCTTGCTGTACTTGAAGAGCCTAAAGGTGAAGTACTTGTCAGCAGTGTACGTAATCGATTTCATCTTGTGGTCTTTATCAGGGCCATTGGTCAACTCAAGAGTATGATCATCAAAGATGTTTAAATGACTTGGTTTGTCGTTAATGATGACAGACTTCCATGATTAGTTTACTGCGTAGGTTTTTGCTTGTGTTTATGTCATGTCCATTCTTCATTTTAGGTTCTCTTCGCATCACACCCATGTGTCCTCAAGTTTTCTTTTCAGAAGTTGCTTGTATCCCTTTGCCTGAGGAGATTTGGACTTAAGAATATCAAATACCTTGTCGATCATTCTTGTAAATTTCACTGTAGGCTGACTATTTTTGGCTTTCTAAAGTTTCATTGACACATGCCAGAATTCAATGGTATTTGCCATAGATGAGCTAAGAGCCTGGGCTCTGACGTCCCTACTGATTTCTTTTGAAATTCAATTCACTTTCAAAAGAAATCAGTAGGGCACAACGGAATATATGGTATGCACCTCCCCAAATAACTTTCTAGTTACGACTCTTAGCTCAGGTATATGTCCTATTGCGTGTCTCAAGATCAATAAAAGGTCAGCAAACAGGAGTGCCACAGGCAGCCTTGAAACCTTTTTTATGTGCAACCAATTTGCGTAAATATTAATTACTTTCTTTGAGTCATGTGCAATGCTTGTCACACGCGCAATTTCGTTTAACTTCATGCACGTATGTTTGTTTACGCATGTATTCAGACTGCATGGCTAGTACAGTTTTTCAATTAAATGCTGCCAATCTGCGATGCCTTTGAACATTCAAAAACATGAAGGATGACAAGGTGAGTGGCCCTGAATTATATACGTTTTGAAAAATTTTTGCTACAAACGTAAAACATTGATGTTTTTCATACAATAAAAACAAATTTTAATGTTGTTAAAGCTGCAAAAATATAGTATAAACAAATATTATTATGCAGCAGTTGTTTTCTTTGTTTTGCCTCTTATCTATGCAATATTTACGGTTTTCTGAAAATGTTTGAATTACCTGTCTGTAATTTTGTGTTGAAAGTTTCCTACTTTGTCAAAATATAAGACTGCCAAGACCAAATAAAAATTGAAG